CCCAAAAATAAATGTTTTTATGTTTTTACTTGTATTCTAGCAATTTACCATCTCACTTTCATGTACCTGAATCATATTGTTCACCGATACTTTTAAACACTGCAAACTGTTTAAGCTCTGGAAGGGGACTGTACTTCTGATTGATAGACACCTGCTTTTCATTTGCAGGTGCTCAATGAAGGACAGAACACCAATGAAGTGAAAATAGATGTTAAGTGTATTTCCCAGTGTTTCACAGAATAGCCGACTGGTTTGCTACAGAGACAGCAGCATAGGACAAGTGGCATGGCTATTTCATACTTTAAGCCCATTCTTTGAATTCTTATTCCTGTATTTCCCCACAGAGGTTTCACTATTTCCCTAGTAACAGCTCATTTCAAGAACAGACTTTGAAATTTGTGAAAGTCTTAAACAGTTGCCGCTACATTATATTCAAATACCCTAGAGAGATCGGAGGAAGTACTCAATAGGAAAAAACACTATTCTTTGGCTTACTATTGTTATGCAAATAAGGCAGGAAAAGGGCCTGCCATAAATGATCAGTTATGGAATATAGTGCATCGTTCAGCTTTCTGCAACTAGCTTTATCTAAGATGAGGAGTGATGTCGTCCCCCCCCCAGAGTAGAACTGCTCTTTCTAATAAACTGCAATACCTGACGATATGAGATCAACCAGTTAATTATAGTAAATGTAAAACAAGCTTGATGATACATTTTTAGTGAGGGGAAAAGAAACTGCTAGTTTGAAATACAACTTTATTTTTTTAATCAATATGCAATCTACAAAATGTTATTACAAGATTATCAGCATGATCTGTTTATACTTATACTAACAAAGGACCCAAATAAAATTAAAATTTCCATTAAGAATAACAACACTGCTTCAGAGTTATCAAAATTATAGCTAAGAACTACTAACTGCAGCAGTTAGTTACTGTGTTTAGTCAACAAAAAGACAAATAAATGGAAAATAGAGGTGTCAGCAACAGTACTGCAACTAAGAAGTCTGTCAAGTAAAAGGCAACTAAAAGCAACATGTGAAAACACGTTTTCAGATGTAAAGTACTTTGGACAATTAATACAGAATCTGGGGAAAAAAGCAAGGAGCATAAGGATGACAGCAGCTTGGCATCATGTTCAATGGAGTGCACCATCATCCTCATTTCTCGAGAGCTGCTACACTGGGGCAGCTGGACCATCGTTCCCAATCACTGTTCAGCTTTGACACTCAGTAACACCCCTTTTCCTCACTTTACAAAAACTCTTTTCTGGTTGGAATAAATAAGCATTGCAGGTTGCTTACTTGCTAGCATCAAGAATCTTCTACAGGGTTTTTTTTGTTTATTTCCTGACCATTACCACTATTCCTTTCTTCTTTTTTTTAATGCCTCTCCTTTATTCTTAAAGACTTTGATGCAGATCCCATTTTGTCAGTTAAAAGACTTCCATTGACTTCAATGGGTGTTTGAAACCAAAATTACATCAAGTACCATTTACCTACAGTAATACAATTAGTATGAGAAAGATGAAGGCGAAGATAACGTTTGTTGGTTTCAGCAACTACGACACTTTCTAAACAAGGCAAACACATTATAAAAATAGTTCTCATTGATTTCCATTTAAAATATAAAATATCCCAAACCCTGCTGGTCCTTTGTGAAGGAAACACAGATAGTATGTAAATACTGCCCTGTAGTAAATGTTAGCAAAGCGTCAGCATCTTAAGTGACCCAAACGGTTGGAAGAATTTCAGTGACTGCAGGCGCTAGCTGTGGGCAAGCAGAGATCAGATACGCATGAAACTTCATTCTTCGCATGATGCCAATGCACCTCATGGGTTATTTAAAGCTCCGGTCCTTCTGCTAGCTGGATACTGAGCATCACAACAGCTTATAGCGACTGTTCCTTGCCTCCATTCCCCTCCCAAAATACGGTTAGACTACTTATCGCCCAGATTTCTAAAGACTCAAAACCAGTATGTTTACTCACTATCAGCTGTTATGGCTTTCATAGAAAATGTTAGCAAATGAGTCTTAAATATTGAGACTACTTGTTCAGTAGGTTATACTCAAAGGGCATGGTTGGATGGGGCTTTGAGCAACCTGGTCTAGTGGAAGGTGTCCCTGCCCATGGCAGGGGGCTTGGAACTAGGTGGTCTTTAAGGTCTTTTCCAACCCAAACCATTCTATGATTCTATGCCATCGGAGAATGCAGAAGAAATATTAGATAAGAAGAAGCCAAGGTGGTTTGGTTTTAGCACATTGCAATAGAATAGGAAGTTAGAATTTGATTTGCGGGGCGTGGGGAAAGTCAGACAACCCAAACTTTCTTTCATTAAACTGCATCCTGTTTTTAAATATTCTGTCAGCAAGGCATACAAACATGGGTTTGAAACTGAACAGGGTAATTAGCCTTAGGCTGCACTAATTGTCAGGTTTAAACTGAAAGGCATGCATTAAACAGAGTAATTTTCTTTCAGTGTGGCAATACTTCTGTGGAATGAATTCCCTGTGATCCTGATCCAATTCCGATTAAAGCTAATGGCGAGTCTTGCAGGCCTCAGATGGGAATCCAGGAGCCTGCAACACAGATAAAGCTCTAGCTTGACCTTTTTATGTTTACGAGTTCAGTAAGGCTGAATGATCATTTGCACCATACCAGCCACAATACAGACTCACTAGCAGGAACGACGACTTGTAATACGGCTGTTCATCACTCGGGCCATTCAAAACAACAGCTCGTATCTTGAGGGGTCAGGCGAAAAAACTTCAGCGCTACACGGGCTTCTTGAACACATTCCAAGATACAGCAGACACCTGACAGAAGAAAAGCAGCCTTCTGCAGGATCCGTAACAGCACCGGGCACCGAATGCCCAGGAGATGAGTGCTGCAGATGGGGCTCCTCAGGTGGAACAGTCCCAGAACAGCCTGGCTGTCCCTCCTTCCTAAAAACAGGAAGATAGGGGCCAGCTGGCCCAGACAGGCTTTGGACAATAACCACTGCTAACAGATTGACTGAATTAGCTGTGTTAATGTCAATCAAAACAAGTCAGCCTCAGACAAAGGTTAGTGCAGGTATCTGCGATGCGTATTTGCCTCCTCTACCTTACCAAGCAAAGTGGTTAATAGATGTCATAGCTCTAGTATAACCACAGACTTCAGCAAATTGCAGAGCTCTGCCATGATGGTAAGAATAAACACTTTGCCCTAACTTATCTAACATGCCCCTTAGTTCAGCTGAGGAGTATGTAAACCAAAATTAAATATGAATAAAACAAACCAAACATGACTTGAAGGTGCTAATGGCTTCTGAAGTCAAAACATGGATGGAGGATGCAACAGCTGAGACATATTTGGATCACTACTACACTCAAATGCTTGCTTAGATTTATAATCTGCTAATAAAAAGGGATATATAGAGAAGCCAAAATACCATAATAGTCTATTTGGGGCTTTGGCAATGCAATACCCATAAAAAACCTGCCCTGAGGACTTACTATAGCATCTATTGCCCATTTCATTCTCAGCTTCCAAATGGGGGGAAAAGTTTATTGTGATGAACTAGGTTCATATTATGGCCTTCTGTTTCCTCAGACTGGTAATTTTCTCAGTGCATATCCCACATATTTCTACTTTTGGGGAATAACGTTCATCTGTTTTTTTACACAGTGTTCATATAAATAGTCACAAGCTGTGACAAAATATATAGTGAGCCTTAGTGCATTACTACATTTTTTTTTCTCCACTAATTTCAGTTTGAAGTAAGGATAATTCTAGGAAAACTGCAGGGGAAAAAAAAAAAAGTATCATCAGGAACATTTTTTAATTTATCAGATTTTTTCAGACCTGGAATTACAGACTGCAGAAGATGACAAAGGGGATAATGGCTGAGGGGAGGCATTAAAACCTTTCCCTAAATGCCAATAATTTGTTCAAAACACAGTTAACACATTGATATGGGGCTAGTAGCCCAAGCTGCCTGCTGAAGCATCGCAGCTTCACTTCCCTTGCTGAAGATAGTCCATTCCTGCCTTGTTTCCCCACAGAAAACACCTTTAGAGCCGGTAGCATGAAAACACCTCCCTTCCCATGCAAGGAAAGGCATGCCCTCTGTCTTGAAAGTTACTCAAAGCAACAGCTCCTGTGGTTTCCAAACCAACATCTGGAACTTGCATCCCAAAGGAGACCCGCAGCAAACGGCAGCAACCAGCCATTTCTTCAGTTTGTGGGGAAAACGCTCTGCTGGTGTAAATTCTCAAAGCTGCATCAAATGAAATGGGCCTGGGCTGATTTAGACTTGCTGAGGATCTGCCCCTTGTCTCACTCGCTGCAGTAGTGAAAAAGATTTGTCTAATGCTGGCACAGAAATTTCAATCACATCTGCCATATGTTTTTTTGCCCAAGAGATTACTTTGAGTGAACCTATAAAGTGCTGGGGAGGAAACGCTCACAGCCACGGAAAAACGAAGAATATTGTTGCTGGGAGACTTTTCCCATTTTACCAATGAAATCACCCAGTTTCCAATTCATTAATTGAGGCCCTTGTCAAGAATAATATTACGACTTGTTCTGTTCACGTATATGGAGGGGAGAAGAAATACGGGGGACTTCAGTTTTCAAACACCACTAAAAATGTAATTGCTCCTGCTGGATCTTACACAGATGCTGGTCTGCACATAAGCACTCTGGCAGCTTTTATTGCTGAATATTGTATATCCAAGTGACATGAACTCTTTTGAGTAGTGCCATTAGGTTTCCATGTGGAGTATGAGATCATTCCCAAGTCATAGATAGGCAACAGGAAAATAATATATTACAATCAGTCAATTAAGTGCTCACATCCTGCAACTCTTTACAAAGAGACCTTACTCACACCAGTATTCCCACGACAGGAAGTTTACTTGAACGCAGGCCAGTCAAACCAGTACTGATTTGCAAAATCAAACCCAAAAGCACTAAAAAAAAAAGAAAAATTCAATGACTGTGTTTATCCTAAACTAGGTCACTGCACTGCTTCTAACAATAGAATTTCCTATGTAAATTGATTCCTACTAATATCGTATGACGGTGCCTCTGTCCTCTTTTACTGCATTAGGCAGTTGCCAGCCTTATCTGGATCTTCTCCATCAAGCCTAATCCACTTCCTTTCAATTTCAACCTGTAGTCAGAAAACAAAAAAAACCCCACAGGTAGAATTAGCAAATAACTGGGCATTGCAAGTGCAAACTGCAGCAACGGCACAAATAAAAGCTTTGACACAGAATCAAAACATTTCCAGACCCAACAGATTTCAAAACCACTGCTCCCAAAAATAGCTCAGCTGAGGAAAAGCAACGCTGCATTTGCAGCTCTTTTTTTCAGTGTCATCTTTGATCAGACAAGGAATTATTTTTTAATGATTCTTTTGCTCAAAGTCATTATCACAAGTGCATGCAAGATATGTTTAGAATACAAAGCACATTCGCCTTGCAAATACTGTATGGGGGAGTGGGGAGGAAGAAGAGGAGGAAAACACTGAAAATATAGCCCTGAAAATACCTGGCAATTGTAAAAAGCTTTCTGAACCACGTGTTTCTGGGGCTGCACATCGCTCTCTATGCCCAGTGACTTGACTTCTGTTCCTGAGGCACAGGTATCATGAACGACGAACTGGATGGTAGCAAATGGGTACCAGTCAGACGGTATTTCCTGGTCTGATCCGAGTTCCAGTTTGTAAGACAGGCTGTGTGGATGATCTGAATCTTGGAAAAGAAAAAAAAACAAACACCATCAGTTAATTATCTTTTCTTTCTTTACAGTGCCAAGGTTAATCTGCTAGCAAGTGAGAACAGCTCTATCTTTTATTAATGCAGAACTGTTACTATGATACAAGGTTATTCTATCTATTATCTTTGGCTACTTGGGCATAAGATACAAGATTATTCTATCTATTATCTTTTGCTACTTGGGCATAAGGTGGTCCCTAACTCATTTTTTCTCTGCTTCAACACACTTTTCACAATCATTGCAAATTACAAATTAATTTGCACAAGATTTACCAGATCCCCCCAGCTTCTGATTAAGAGAAGAATATTACAAACTTAGGGATTGGTTGCTAAATTCAGACTATTAGGGAAGAATCTCCGTTTTCCCTGAAAAATACATTTCTTACTCTCATAGAAAAATAAAAATCAGGAGGCCCCAGCTTAGCCGAGGCAGACATGCCTCCCCGGGTCCAACAACCACCCTTTCCAGAGCTCTCTGCTGTAGAATTTTACTGGAGTGTTTATTTCAAGTACTAGAGCTATCTTGTGTAACATCATTTATTATAGTCTGTCTCCAGCGGGAAGATAAAGGTGCAGCTCAGGATGCTGCTCAGAGAAGGTAGATCCCAGCTGCCAGGATAAGGGCTACCCGGGCTCCCTTTCTAGCTTGGTTTGTTAAGGGAAGAGAACATACCCCATTCTTCCAAGTGGAAGTATTACTAAAGTAACTGTCATGTTATAAAGCAGAGTCACGAAGGGCTGCCCATGTTTTGCAGCATATTCTAAATTAATTCAGCCCAGCCTTAGATCCTACGGATCACTTGCTTTACTGCTTCTTATATGTGGCAATGGTAAGGGAAAGTATTTCTCCTTTTCCTGGCACACAGGAACATTGGGGTGGAAAGCCTGCTTTCCAAAGAAGCCAAGGTCAGCAGGCTCACTATGTGCGCGAAAGCAGTATAGTATAGTATAGTATAGTATAGTATAGTGTAGTGTAGTGTAGTGTAGTGTAGTATAGTATAACATAATATAATATAACATAATATAACATAATATAACATAATATAACATAATATAATATAATGAAAGGAATCCTTTGTATCACAGCTGCCTCTCCAAATTCTTCAGGGCAGAAAACAGTAATTCTGCATTTCCCCTTCTCTCCAGGATTTTAAGCATCAGCACGGACAACTAACTACCATTTGGCTGCAGGCAAAAAAAGCAGCAGAGAAAGGATTGGCCATATTTTGTCACAGGCAAGCCTCGCAGCCTATATTTGGTTTTCATCCATTATACTGAACAGCATCTCAAAGTTCAGGCAAAAATGTCCCATTCTTTATGCACCGGCTTTCTGTGGTGGCAGGAATCAATTTCGTATCAGAATGAAGGAAATACTGAAGATGGAGTTAACATATGCTTTTATCCATCCTGTGGGAAAAATCACTACAACAGTCCACAGGCTCATGGACATTTCATAAGGCACAAATAAATTTAAAAAGCTACACATCCGTTGCTCCTGGGAGACTTGGGCTGTGTGCATCCCCTGGTCTGTGCTGCAGGTTTTCCCTGCAACCTGCCTCACAGCCTGCCCAAGCCAGTTCTGATTTTAGGAGATAGTTTACGTTTGAGCAGTTTGATGGGCAGAGTTCTGTCACACGTTTCTCCAACTGCACCAGAACAAAGTCTAATTTAAGAAACTGTCCTCCAGATTTCATTCCAAGTCCAGCATAAAGTCAATGGGTCCCCAAAAATCAAGGCTTAAAGAGCATGAAATTCACGCTCAAGTATGTCTTAATCATACTCACTAAAACATTTAATGTTTTGTTTTCCTGTTGACAAATTATATAATTAGTGTAATTAATAATTTCCTCCCTCCTCCTTGTTGTTACACTCAACGGCACAATTAAAACTTGACTGGCTCGAAGAAAAGGTGAGGGAATGGGAGAAAGGAATAGGAAGTGTGTTAAACCAAAAGAGGGCAGATTTTGACTAGCTATAAGGAATAAATTTTTCACGTTGAGGGTGGTGAAACACTGGCCCAGGTTGCCCAGAGAGGCGGTAGATGCCCCATCCCTGGAAACATTCAAGGCCAGGTTGGACGGGGCTCTGACCAACTTGATGTAGTTGAAGGTGTCCCTGCCCATTGCAGGGGGGTTGGACTAGATGCCCTTTAAAGGTCCCTTCCAACCCAAACTACTGTGCGATTCTATGATTATCAGCCCATAAACTTCAGATGGGGGAGGTCTCCAACTCTTTTTGTTCCCCTTCTTTTTTCCACGTTTAATAACAACAACAATCATCAGTAGCTTAAAAAAGCTGTTTGCTGACTGCAAGCGTTTCCCTCTCTGTTCGGCTCACCCCGCACAGAAACACAGCAGCATTTACACCCACCACTTCGGACAAGGGGCATGTCACTGGACAACTGCATTCCTTCGCCATCTGGACTCTGTTCGTGGCTGATTTACAAGCATCCCCTGCAGGTTTGCTTCCAGCAGTACATCGCATTCGATCCTTATCCTAAATGCTGCTTTTTTACATAACTGCTTGTAATGTTCAAAGAAAACCTGACTGGATTTGAGAAAATAATGCTATATACACACCCGCTAGTGTCCTGCACCATGGAAGAGTATCAAACACTGGCCATGAAGTTTCCCGGGTGTCTTTAAAGAAACGAGTGTCACGATGGAGAGCCTGCAACCATTGGAACTAGCTGCTTCTTTCTACCAAAGCACGGCTTGTAATACCTGCTCCTAAGGAACTGGTTACAGAAATTTTAGGGAAGGGTAATACAGCTTGCACTCATAAATGCAAGGGCAGATCCATAAAAGAGACTGGTAGGGATCACAGCAACTAATATGCAGGTCCCGACTTTTGGGAACGAAGCTCCCCGAAGTATGCCCAGTACAATAGCACCTTTAAGGTGAGCGGGGGGAAGTAGGTGCCCAGCAGTGGCCATCACACAGCCATCACAAAGGGAGGGAAACCAAACTGAGCCGTCCAGGCTGGAGACATCAGATGGAAAAACCTCACCCCTCTTTGCAGACTTCGCAACCCACTTGCCGCACCAGTCAAGGCACCAACACTTTACAACTCTCCCACACTTAAAAAATGAAAACCACCACCCAAACCATGGCCCATGACCAAACGCGGCAGTAACGTCACCTTTTTATGTAAAAGCCTACCGCATAGTTCACTTGCGTGTGAATGGGGCTCAGTCACCCACGCAGCTATACGGCACGGCTGGTATGGGGGTGGCGTAGGGGTACTGGTGCCGATTTGTGCTAAACCAGTGCTGCTGGCATGCGCGAGACATTACTCACACCTCGGACCACGCTACGGGACAGGGTCCTTCAAGGCACTAAAGCACTAATATACCCAGTTTGCAAGCTCGTCACGGTCTTGGGCAAAGGGGTGCACTGCCAGGGGCACGCAGCCTGTGGCTGAAGTCTCGGGGCTGTAATGCAATACACGGAGACAGGTAAAACTATAACATTAGGGACTTTATTACTGAAATAGAGGAGGGAACAAAGTCAGAAACAAATACTACAACCACCTGTCAGCTCCTTCAGAAAGAAGCTGGAGGAGGACCAAACAAGTGTGAGGAGGAGATGGCGCTTCGTCACTGACGTAGACAGTGACAGGCAGATCAGTATATACCTCTGTGACATGGGTCTTGTCCACCGTCTGCTGCTGGTCATCTCTTGCTGTGTCCAAGCCCATTTCTCCTGCACTAATGCTCTTTTGGTCCTCTTCCAGACTGCCGGGACACGGTGGAATGAGCCTCCTGTTGGGGTGGGCCTCTCCATCCTTGAATCTGCCATCGTCCCAGCAACAGCTGTGGTGTCAGCAACACCAGCAGGGAGGGAGACCAGAAGCAGCACCCCATTCCACAGCCAAACTGTGAGACGTCATCCCATCTGTGGAACCACAACCCAACGCAAGCTGTGCTCCTCTTGGCTCCCAGGACCTACACTGCTTTCAAGTGGTGGTGTCAGGAGGCAGCTTGGCAACACACTTACTTGACCTGGTCCTTGTGCTGTTTGCTGGGTTGGGATGCGCAGACTGCACAACATCAGCCACAAGCGAAGGGTCCTTCGTAGCAGCAGTTGCAATGCTAAGATGGCACATCATGCCCTGGCCAGGGAAGTGGCGCGCTCTGCTTCTGGGGCTATGGTTGACCAAGGATCTGAGGAGAAAGGGTTTGTCCAAGAGTAGTAGCATTTTGTTCGGAGTCCATTTGGAAATGGGTGTAGATCTAAGGGCTTTTGGAGATCAAATTCAGCATCTTCCTGTTGTGGGAGGGAGGCCTATGGAGAAACAAGTAGTAATGGAAACTGTCTGGAAAACTATTTTGTCTTCTGAGAAAGGGAATCCAGAAATAACCACTGCTTGGAATTTTCCTGGACAGGTATGGTAAATGTCAGATGGTAGATATCCACTTGAGCCCAGGCATAAATGGGCCATTCCTTTTCGCCTGCTGCTAAAGGCTCCTGTGTTAGACATGGCACAGTTGTGGTTCAGCACCATATAGTACTTTAAAAAAAAATCTCTGGGCTTACATTCCAGCTAACTCACATCCATGAGGTGGTTTCAGTGTTGGGATCCGATGAGTTCTGGGGTCCTTTCTTTCTCCTAAGTGGTAACCTGCAAAGGCAGAGATGATAGTTTTGGGATCTGGGTAGGGCTACTGCCCTGGGTCCTCTGGAGCTGCCTCCACACTGGACCCTTTTGCCTACTCCCAAAACACAGGGTTTCCCCCAGCCCATCCGTCTCCTGTACCAACGTCAATGTCAGAAGCAGCTACTCACCACTTCACTCGCCGAGAAGCTCCTCTGCCCACTGCTGGGCTGTGGTAGGAACGTGAAACAACTTCTTCCCATCGGCTGTCAGACAACAAAGCGATCAACCAACACTTCGGAAGACAGTGAGCATTGCCTTAGTTTTCACCTAAAACTGCATAGTCCTTGTCATCTCTACTCCATGAAACTATTGTTTCCCAGGCCTTGTATTACACTGGAGTTAGAAGAAGAAAGAGAGGCTGCATGTACAAGATCCTTTTGCAAAAAAAATCTGTAATGCTGAACACGCAAGATGGCAGGCAGAAAAGAGAAAAGGCAGTAGTGTGGAAAGACAAGTTGGATTTACACATGGTGTAAATCTGTACAGTTGCCCAGTGGAAGCTAAGGTGTGAGCCCAGCTATCCAAAATGTGGCCCATCAGGCATCGTGGAGACATGAACATCTGGCCTGATGGGCAACCAAGTAATTTGGGGAGATAACTGAACTTTTACTAGCTGATTTAGGAGACAGAAGCCCTAGGATTTAGGTATCTAGGCAACTTGTTAAGACTTTTGTGAATTCAGATACCTAAGTCTTTCCTGCTTTACATCTGAAAATTTTTCTATTATTTCCTAAAAATGTTGCAAATGCTTGTTCTCTTTCTCTGAAGAAGAACAACAAAAAAGCCCAAATGAACAAAGAAATCCATAGAACTATGAAACTAGATTCAAACCATCATTTAGCATTCATATAGCACTTCACAAACATTAATAATATAAGTTTGCTGCATTTACTCACACTATTTATCCCTTATTCACTTGTATGAGTAGCATTCAAGCAACCTTGACCGGAGAAAGGCTCATGAAGCCAAGTAATTTAGACTGAAAAATGTGCTGTTATTTCAGTTAGTAGTGATTCTATTTTTGCCGAAATAGGTCCAGTTCTGAATGTCTTGTTTAGAACATGAAAACGTCAACAATTACGAAGAACGGATTTACATTAGGACTGATAGAAGTTAACAGCTCCTGCGGCTATGTCTAAATGGGTGCATTTATCCAGCCCTCTGGGAGACATGCACAGGAGACGGGGGAATGGGAAGGTGCCACCAGCAAGGAGCCGTTTGCAGCAGTGCTGATGCCAGAAGGAGGTGGCTGGCCAGGGATGGAGCCCGCCTAACAAAGTCAGTCACGGCTTGGAGCTTCCACCGAGGCAGCTTAGGAAACAAAAGCAGTGACAGCTGAAGGTTGCTGGGAGCCACACCACCTCCCACACGTGAGTCCACGCTCCGATGCTTAAGGCTGCCAGCAGCCACAAGCTCCCTTGGCTCCGTTTCTCTCCGTCGCTCGTGCACCGCCTCCTCAGCGTGGCTCCACGACGCAGAAGAAAAGGAGAAATAATCCGCTGAAGAACCTGTTGCTTTACGCAGCAGCCCAAGGACAGAGGTGTCCTCACCTTAGAAAACACCGCAGGGCACAAATTTACACAGCAAGAGATTAAAACACAGCGTTTCGAGCCTCGTCTCTCCCCAGCTCCCTGCGCGGGACCGGTGCACGCGCTTTCTCCAGTGTAAAGACTGTCCCCGGTGCTGTGCTGAAATCCTAAAATGTTCTACACTTCCTTACACGATGCCCTGATTTCACAAATGTGGACTCAATTTGCAGAAATGTAACTGGATCAACCCTTCAAAGTCTACAGCTTTGCCTCTTTTTTGTTTTTAAATAATGTTAACACTCTGGCTCCAAACCCTCCATTTACATACCAGAATAAGCAGAGGCAGCTTTTAAAAATGTTGGGTATCTCACAGCTCACACAGACTTTGCTTGGCCAGCACTCTTCCAAGGAAGCACTTGGAAGTGCTTCCAAGGCCGTAGAATGGCCAAGTGCTTCAGGCCGTAGAATCCAGTGCATACTGACATATTTCAATGTCTATAAACGGAGTCACAATATAACTGTAGGCAACATTTCCTTTTCCCTTTCTTCTTTTTTTTTTTTTAGAAGCCTCAGACAAAGACTTTTTGAAAGCAAAAGCCTCAGCACATTTTTCTCCCTGCAGTAAATGTATTATGAAAGTTTACATATTTCTATTAGTTTGACTGCCTCCAGATTTTTGGCATGCCTTGGGACAACTCTATTTTTAAACTCTTAACTGAGTACAGAAAACTTGATAGAGAGGTTTAAAATTTGACCAGGCAGTATTACTACCAAAATGCTTTTTCAAACACATAAACATTTCAGGGATACAAATGATTTTGCAGATCTCAGCCAGAGGAATTATTCAATGTCAAAAGTTTAAGCTACCGGTAGAAAATAACATAAAGCTGTAGAATGCCACAAAAAAAGGGTTCTTACTTTCAAATAACATAGATCCGAAGTTAATTGTGCACATCAAATCTTAAGGTGAATGAACTGCAGGGAATTAAAGACTTTGAAAGACTTATAATCTTCTTTAAAATCGCCTGACTAAATTGCTAACTTGATTTCGCAGCAGCAAACCTACATTAAATAGCAAAGAATATTAAAAGCTACCCAAACACTCAGTCCCATAAGCCTTGGGAAAACAAATGGGCCACAGCAGCAAGTGCGAATCGTTGAAGCCCAGAGTGCGTGACACACATATCTACAGATTTTGGAGGCCTGAAGAATCTTCTGCCCACTGGTTCTCCCACGTCTCTCCATCAATTCTTCTGCCCTCCCTGTCCATTTTCCAGCCTCTCCAACCCCTCCCTCGGTGCCTCTCCTTATCTCCCCTCTCTCTGTCATTTTTCTCCCCCCATCATTAATTCTGGCTTGGCTCCCTGCCTCGTGTCAGTCTGTCTGCCAAGGCTGCATCTCCCCCGCTCTCCCGCTGCCCATTGCTTGGCAGCCCCCAGCATCCTCTCCCCGCAGAGCGCCAGATACCCAGGTAACGCTCGGCCAGCTCAGGAGGAACCATATGGCATTAGCCACAGGTCCAAGCCGACCACTGTTCCCCTTCTTTTTCTTTTTTCCAAAGCAAAAAGAAGGGGAAAAACAGGGATGGCGTTAACACGTCGTCATTTCTGAACCTGACCACAGTAGCGTTTGTGCTGTTCCTCCTGCAGTGCGCATCCATAGAAATCAGAAAGCGAAACCGCTCAAGGTTTGAGAGACCTCACTGCCTAAGCAAGACCCAATTTGCAGACAAAAGGGGACAGTTTTTCCATGCAGCATCATTAGTAAAAAATACTAGCCCTAGTCTGCCGGTAGCAAGAATACAAGCAACTGCCACATTAGCATGTTGATCACAGAATCATTAAGGCTGGAAAAGACCTTTAAGATCATCAAGTCCAACCATCAACCCAACACCACCGTGCCCACTAAACCATGTCCCGAAGCGCCACGTCCACACGTTTTTTGAACACTTCCAGTGACGGTGACTCCACCACCTCCCTGGGCAGCCTGTGCCAATGTTTGACCACTCTCTCAGTAAAGAAATTTTTCCTAATATCTATGTAGGATGCTTTCAAATGCTGTTTTCATACCAAAAGCAATCATCTAGTTCATATATAGGCTTAGGATAATATTCCCTTTTCATTTGCTCCTGCCTCAGTTTTTCTGTCGACCTGTTACTTCTGTTGCTGAAGTATCAATCAGAATTCGAGTATCAAACATCAAACTGTTAAAAAAAAAGTCACAATTACCTAAACAGCAGGTCAGAATAAATATAAATTAGAATTAGTTAAAAATGAGGGAAAAAAATATCCTCTGGAGTTTTTTTGCCTTTGCTCTTCTTTTTTAATAGTTTTGAATGAGAACTCTCGCCTTTACATATATCTAGCTGTCAGAACCAGTAAGTGGATATGTCAATTTAGTACTACCGTACCTGAAACTAGGACTTAAAAAGATTAAATCTTTTCTGGACGTTTTAAAGAGGTAGTTAGTCCAGACAGCTAGGATACTACAAGACTAGCCTAATCCATTTGTTACCATTTATCCCCTTCTTAAAAGTACAGTTTTTACAGACATTTGAGGTGAAATGTTTTTAAAATTGCCCTTGTCTTACACAGATCCCCAAAGTCTCAAATACATGTAATGCATATCCAAGGAAAGGATCAAGTGCCTTCAGTCTACAGAACTTGAAGCAGAGTAATACATTCCTCAATAATTTTCATGCCTTTAGAAAAGTGCTATATAGGGATATTAATCTGGTAACTTGACTAAAAATTGGAATTTTAAGACCATATATTTATATTTTCCTTCTCCCAAAAAATTTTATTTTATTAATTAAAGTAAGTTAGCTGTTTTACTTAGTGGGAAATTAACAACTCCCAGGTGCATGACTATAAACTTAGCTGGTTTTATTGCTCCAAGGTTTTAGTGAGGTACCACCACCAAAGAAAAGCAGGAATAAAGTAGGAGGCATTTTTTGTCAGTGCAGTTATTGCCATGAACACACAAGCTAAATACACAAACCCATAAAGGAGTTTTAGATAACATTAGATAGATAGATAGATAGATAGATAGATAGATAGATAGATAGATAGATAGATAACAGCCTTTGCAAAAGCACACTCAACTTGCTACAGCAAGTTTGACCTCAGCATCTTCTAGTTATGTATCATACCTACCGTTTCTTAACCGATGCTAGGAAGCAAAGACGCAACAGATACAATACCACCTTTTCTACTAAATGCATGATATTGGGTGGCGAAATAATTTCACCTACTGGTGTTCCCTTCCCATCCCACTGTTGCTCAGCTGGTATATGTGAAGCATAAACCCTTACCTCTTTCTTACTATGGATTTGAGGTTTACTCAGAATGATGAGATCCATTTCCATGATACTGCAGCCTTACAATTACTGACAATAATACATCTGCCTCCTTCAAATAAGTTAGGAAAATGTGCTTTAAAATAAAAGGCTATATGATCTTTTCCCCAAAAGGCTACTCCAGCTTCTACCAATACCACCACACAGCTAAAAACCCAAACTACAGAAGCCCATGGGGGTACACAAGCATAAAAACAGCGAATACATGCACCCAAGCCCATCATTTTATAGCGCAAATTATTTACTTGAGTTTTTATCTGGAAGCCTGTCTATCTTCCACACAACAGCCCTGTAGGCACTCTCATATTTTGCTGTTCCAACCGAGACTTGTATTACGGGATCAGATTCAATCTCGTGTAAAGAGCCAAGGCATGCTCTCCTATTCATTTTTGCTTTTAGGGACTTCTGCCTTTGGAGGTTCATGGTCCAAAGTGCTTTGACCCACTGAGTGGGAACAGGAAAGCGTATCGTAACGTTTTCACAGTATTTCACAGAGGGTAAACGTGTTGGAATCGGAGCAGTCGAAGACATGTTTATAAAAGCCTGAAGTTCAACGTATGCCCCCTGAACGACTACCACAGCCTTCACAGAAAAGGGAAGGTCTTGCCCATTATACTGTGTCCTGAAACGCATCAGTTCCAGCCTATAGGCGTCGGGGGGCGTAAACTTAATAATTCGCGATTGCTCGAATTCCTGCGCTTTGACACAGTTATGGAAATGGCAGTCAAGAATATTGATCCATTTCTTCTCCTCCTCCTTCTCAAAGTAACGCTCGTCCCTCTTCTGGAGCTCCAGGTCATTCAGGGTTAGAAAGCAGTCAGCACTTCCGTTCACAAAACACAAGCAGTAAATATGCGTGATGACGGCACTTTCTACGAGTTTTCCTTCTGCCTTAGTGACTTTCCCCCAAAAGTTATCCACTATTTCCAGAGCCATTTCTTGCTCTTCGTAATTCCTCTTTTGTCTGGAAATGGTAGGAAGTTTCATAAGCTCTTCCTCAACTGTTATGAGGAAATCGGTGAAGTCGTCGTAATCTGTGGTGCCCAGCTTTAACATCTGCTCAACCTCTGGCTCATGGATCACTTCTACTTTGGGATGATACCTCCTTTTCTCTGTGTAAGACACACACTCGATCTTCACGGTATGTATCTTTCCGGAGACGTTATAGCTCTCTAATTTGGGTTCGGACAGCTTACAGTGTGGCTGCAGCTGGAATTCCCTGAAAGGTTTCTCCAGACCTTTTTCGTAATACATCTGCAGTACACCCCCAGCTAGGACACTAAGGTAAATAGGGCCCCATTGCCGAGATGACATCATGTTCTTCTTTTCAGGGATCCTCAGCATGAATGGCCACCCATCCGCTTTCCGACTCCTGAAGAGGCTGCATGGGACAGCAGGCGACAGCTTGTGCCATGCATGGGCGCTGGAGACAGGTGGGCTTCCTGTGGCGTCGCAGCCATCGGCTTGCAGGTGTTCAAGCCTCTCGCAGATGTAGCTGAAGGAGCCCTGGTTCAGGCTTTTCTGATCATGGCAAGTTTCTTTGTCTTTAGGATGACAGACGCTCCTGTCAAGCCCTTTGTCCTTCCTGTGCGTGCTAACATTAGCTGGTGACGTACTGAGCGAGCATCCTTCCTTCCAAAAGGGACTGGAAAAAGCGCAATCGCTCTGGAAGTACGGGAAGTGCCCCGGTGCTGACGATAACTCTCCTAACTCCTCGCAGCTTCCTGGCAGATTAGGGCTTCCGTCACATGTTGATTTGGAGACGGCAGTCTTAACGGGATGGTCATTAGGTGAGGTGTTCAAAGGAGGGCTGCTCAGCTTCTGCGAGGTTAGGGATGAGCAAATTCCAGGTGATGGAAGAAGGTTAAAGTTTGATGGCCATTCAGGGATAGGATAAAGGATGTGAATCCCAGGCTTTGGGATGCATGGACTTCCTGGGTAGTCTCTGGTAGGTGTAGTAAGTGGAGAGTTGCTGGGTGGTCCAGGACTTAGGTAGAAGTCAACTACAGGAGATGAGAGTGGAGTGCTGCCTGTAGAAGAGGATCTACTTGAAGTCTCATGCACACTAGACAGATTCAGTTTAAGGCCATTCGGTTTACAACTGCTCTGATTATCAACCGATTTCTGAGGCGACTGGAAGAGTGGCTCGTCATCAAAGGTGACCCAATTTGCTGGATTTGTGGAACACATCTTGCAGGAGAAACTTGAGGCACTTTCACACCTACCACCCGCAAACCATCTACAAAGGAACAACAGACATGAGCAGAAATAAATTCTTTTGAAAAACAAAACAAAGAAACACAAGACTTATAAAATTCAAACCACACAAAGCTTAAAATGTGCCTGCAGTTTACTAATCCAGCGTACTTTGTGCTTTACATGTATAGAAACAGATAAACTCCCCATGAATCCCCACTGCTTCCCCGGGTTGGGGATCTAAGGGAGATCTAAGCTTTATGGGCTCTTCAGAGTATCTGATGTATGCAGCCTCTAGATCAGAGGGAACAGAAAGTCCAACAGCTGTACAGGACCACTCGCATAATAATTTCTACAATACCGCTTATCTGTAGCTTGTAATATGGACAGAGATTTTCCACCATGCTTCAGGTGAGGTTTCCCCTCCATCCCACCATTAAACAAAACAGTGTTTTACTAAGAATGGTGCAGCTGTTTCATAGTATCATAGAATAGTTTGGGTCAGAAAGGACCTTTAAAGGGCATCTAGTCCAAACCCCCCTTGCTCAGAGCCCCGTCCAACCTGACCTGGAGTGTTTCCAGGGATGGGGCATCTACCACCTCTCTGGGCAACCTGGGCCAGGGTTTCACCACCCTCAACGTGAAAAATTTCTTCCTTATACCTAGTCGAAATCTGCCCTCTTTTGGTTTAAAACCATTACCCCTTGTCCTGCGGCAACAGCCCCTGCTAAAAAGTCTGTCCCCATCTTTATTATAAGCCCCCTTTAAGTACTGAAAGGCTGCAGTAAGGTCTCCCTGAAGCCTTCTCTTCCCCAGGCTGAACAACCCCAACTCTCTCAGCCTGTCCCCACAGGAGAGGTGTTCCATCCCTCTGGTCATTTTTGTGGCCCTCCTCTGGACCTGCTCCAACAGGTCCATGTCTTTCCTGTGCTGAGGGCTCCAGAGCTGGACGCAGGACTCCAGGTGGGGTCTCACCAGAGCAGAGTAGAAGGGCTGAATCACCTCCCTGGACCCACTGGCCACGCTGCTTTGGATGCAGGCAAAATTAGGAGGATGGGGGGGGATATTTTTTTCATTGTTGAAAAGCTGTAGCAACTCAGTGATGATGGCAAAGGTACACATACTACATCGTTGCCATCAGGGCAAAACCAGCCCACCAAGATAACATATGCAATGAACAGCCAGTTCCTGAGGTCTCTCCAAGGCAGATGTTCCCCTCGTGCAATGGGCACAGGCAACAGGGCAGTTGCATGCCCATCCCCAGGTGAGAGGCAGCAGGGAGCGTATAGTAGCTGCCAGAACCAACCAGCCTGCAACTCATCACCCACTCCATGCTGCCACCTGAGGTGCCTCGGGCCAGGAGCAGGATGTGCAGATTGGTCCCAGATGCTTTCCAGACCTGGGCAGGAACCGCTTCACACCAGTTCCTTCAACCTCGACTTAGGCTCTTAGAGACTGGACACGTCAGAGCACAGTTAGAGGTGGGGTAGAAAAGCACTGGACTTAGGAACAAGAGTTAGCCCTAAGGATGAGCGACACATCCCTGTTGAAGGGTAGACTACAAGCATCCACTGGAGATAAAAGACTGGTGAAACACAAGTCAAGGCCAAGTAACAACATACGCATCTGCTAAGGACTGAATTGGCTGGCAGCCTGGAAAAAGTACAGGTCTTTAAGTCAACTAATAAAGCACGCTTCATCAAACAAGGTATCTTTGGTAAAGGGCTCGGCTAGATGTCCTCCGAGCAGGACTGCGACCAGTAAATAATTAATCTTGCCTTCACGGCTTTAAATCATGCACCGAAATGTAAATGCTCACTGTATCCTTATGCAGGGTACGTCGGCCCCAAAGTTTTCCTCCCCACTGCTCCCGACTGATGAAGAAGTGAGCAATAAATTGCTAATGACTGAGGAATCGAGTACAATGAAGCACCACAGGGCACAGATAAACATAGTTCATTTGAAAAAAAGTTATTCTTGTTATGTCAGAACATATTCATGTTTGCCTGAAAGCACAAGGCAGGCAGAGTTCACACAGACAAAACCACCTGCACATACGTTACTCCGTTAATTAAGGTTAGATAACGATGACTTGAAGCCATTCCCCTTCGTGCACACACAGCCTTAGTTAGGCCATTTATTAATTGCAGAGCACTACGGCATATAATCACATAACCACAAAAGCCATTCTTTACCCGTGGCGTGTAGGGAGCAGTTCGTTTCTAGAGATGCCCGAGTTCAGCCCAGTGAAATCTTATGCCACAAATCATTATTTTTACCATTTCCCCCATTATTTCTTGGCCAGTTTATAGCCTTTAAGAAAGCGCCGTAACCCGTGGCACAGCCCGCTCCCTCCACGGCCGAGCAAACAAGAGCTCGCAGTGGAGAAGGATTCTGGTCCTTCATTATTTTTTGAACTCTCGACCTTTTTGTTCAGTAAAAATATTTGCACTATGCTAGTTATTTTATAAGCACTCTCCTCTCCGCTTACAGAGGGAGAAGGAGCAAACAAGCTACAAATGACTGTCATAGCTCAGGCGCACACAGCTACCAGTGTATCCTTCACCCACACCATCACTTCATCAAAATAACGCGTAGCAATGGAAAGAAAAATCACAGCTATTTGGTCACCGACTTGGTCATCATTTTTTCCTCCCGTTCCACACCCTTCTCCTCCTCTCCCTCTTGCGCTCCTTCAGCGTCATGTATCGATTACGTCTAGATGGGGAAGTTTCAAAGTTTTCAGACCTCGCTTCACCTTAACGAGCCTCGTTTGTTAACGACGGCTCACGCCGTGCGAACTCGGAGCACGGCGCGACAGCCGGGACTGCGAGGAAGCAGCCTCCGAGGCTGCCATCAGAAATCCCCCCCGGCGTTTACAAGAGATCAGGGGCCGCCAGCGAGAGAAGCAGCCGGGCGGAGGGAGGGCAGGGAGAGCCCTTCCCTCCCGAGGGCTCCGGGGATGGTGCGGGGGTTCGGCGTGAGGCTCGGCGGCAAGGACGGCCAGTTCGGCAGCCCGAGAAGGCGCAGCTCTTCGGTGCCGCCGCGCCTCGCTGACGGGGCAAATCGCAAAACACGAGCGGAACGGAAAACGTAAAGTGGGAATGTAAGTAAATGCAAATGTTATTTACAGTGAAGAACACAGCCTGCAGCCTGTTTCCCTTTCTCGTTAGAAATGAAGTTTTTCAGCGCCCTTTATCGTTTCCAGATGTTGATTTTTTTTTCCCCCAACGTCTGTTGCTATACACATTTTAAAACCTGACGTTACAGATTATTCAGCAGGTTTTTCTCCTGTTGAAAACAAAAAGATGTTTGAAATTCACCTGCCAAATATTTAACTTCGGTCAATAAATGTATATGAAGCAAACCACTTTGGCAGAGGGAGCTCTCACCTGCAGGTACAACACCCCTCACATACCTGTCAGAGGCCATGGCTTTCACCTTTCGTTACTGTTCCATAAATGTGTTTTTTAAAAAAAAAATAAAACGACACTGATGTTAACAAAATCACACGTGCAAGAAGTGAGTGTTGCAATAGATAGCCGTTCCCCTACTATTGCTCACTGATCCCCAAAACCGACTACTGGGAATGGAGGAAAAAAAATCCAAATGGAGCTTTAAAAGCTGATTTTATAATGTCATGCTAATAAAAGGAAATGCGCCCTCTCACGTGTTATGGGTAGCACCATTCATCCAGTATTTAAGAGAAAAGAAAACCATTTATAGTCTTATGCTCCTTTATGTAGCTTGCTCTCTGATGCTTTTACATCTGCACAACACCATAAATTAATCTTTTCCCTCAAGTTCTTCTTTGTTCTTAAAAGTGCTCCAAATTCCTCCTTAAGAATTAGGACATTCTTCCTCGAAATGGCAGTAAAATCGGGCTTTAGGATAGAAGTGTTTTGACTCCAAAAAGCTCCCACGGGACCCCCATAAACGTAACCCAGACGTTTTGGGGAAGAGGAAAATGACACAAGATGCCATTGATCTCTGTTACCACATGTGTTGTGCAGCCCATAACATTTAAATTACAAGCACGTGTGGAACCTCATTCAGACATGGGCCAGGAAATACCATTTTTAGAATACTGAAACTGCAAACAAAAAAAGCTGGCTGAAATAACAGTTGATCCTAAACGCATCAATTCCAGTGAACCCAAAAGCTGTGACTCATCTCGATTCATTATTTTCTGCCTGAAAACAATCTTCCCATTTATCAGGTCAACTCAGTCCCTCGGCATTTAACGAACAGTAGTTGCGGCTTAATTTTTTCATTTTGATGCCTCGAGGATGTAAGGGAGAGAAATCCTACCCTGTTACTGGGAGATTTCATAGGCTGTAGCTGTTACGGGGTCCTTTGCTGCTTCGAAAATCCCCGATCAAATCTGCAGCGAAAATACTGCTCAGCTTCTACACCTTGCTGGGGGGATGCCGCTATCTCTTCCCACGGTGAAAGAGTAGTAACAGCTCCCTGCTTGCTCCAAGGCGCAATTCAAGGTACTGGCTTCGGTACTTTCAATCCAGGTACGGCTCGGTCCCCAGCTCCCGGGGCCGTGCGTCGCCTCCGCCACGGCAGGGAAGCAGCAGCACCTGAAGCAGGACGGTGCAGGAGTGAACCCCCCCAGCGTCTTCAACGTTTGGCACCAGTAAAAACCCTCGAGCACATCCCTGAAGACTTAAACACAAAGGTCCTTTTTTTTTTTTTAAAATATTGGAGGAGGAGGGGGTCATCTGACGGGGAACGGCAGGGAACAGCCCCCTTCTGCAAAGCATGAGGCATTCCTTACTGCCGCTAGCTCCAAAGGCCGTCGTGGCTTCAAAACTATTAAGCTACACATCCTCTAAACAAATTCCCTTTATAAAGCCCCCGCATGTATCTTACGTCTGCCACTTCCATGGTGGGGTCTTACCGGGAAAACACCAACCTCACGGATTGCTTCAAGCTCAAAAAAAAAAAGATTTACCTACACGCAGTGTGAAAAAAACAGTTAAATA